AATTTTATGACAGTTGGGTTACTTTAATACATTTTTTAACTGCAAGGTTAATATAGTGATTTTTTTCCCTTTTTGGCCAAAATCACACAGTGGACATTTTTTTTAAATAGAAAACCATAGAAACCATGTAAGGAAGAATGAGGTCATGTCTTGTGCCTGAAATCATATAATTTATGTAGTTAGATGTTAAAAATCATAGTATTAGAATTATTATTAAAAACTTAACGAGCAAGCTAATTCATATATTTATTAGCGTTTATAAATATATACTCAAAAGTAACCGTTCAACTTCTCATCACAAAATCTTTGATTCTATTAACTATATCAATGAAAAATGGTTTGTGATGAGATTGCTCTTAATGAGTAAGAGAATTTTAAGAGAGTCAAAGTAAATATTGACTTTAGTGAAGCCATGCTTTCAATATGAGTTGATCCCCTCAAGAGTACTCAAAAGTTTAAAGGTAACAATGAGTTAATAGTCAAAGTATTTAGAAAAATCCTTAAACAAGTTTTTTTGATCGTCACAAATTAGATCTTTACAAGTAACAGGTCCATTAAAGTTGATTGAGTCACCGGTATAAAGTTTACATAATTTGGTTCAGACAAGATCCACCTTATAAGAACTTTATCATTCTCAAGAGACAAGTGATTGAGTGTTGCATGGAGACCAAAATCATTGCTTATATCTTGGGTGGAGACGAAAGAACATGGTGAATTATTAATTGATATTGCTTCCCATTGTCATGGCTCTAGAGAAGAGAACTATTTTTCACTCGTCACTAATTTGATCCCTTTAATATAGTTGGTACCAATTCTAAATGTCTGGCACATAGAATGAGCCAGCATTCATTTTTTTCAGTGTAAAAAAGTGCTACGCAACATTGGTACTCGATTTATAAATATTTTTCGTGTTTTCTTTTCCATTCTATGATTTTGCGACCAAATAGTCCCTTAATCATAAAAAGAAACTTCTGGTAATATATAGATATATGTACACGTATATATATATATATATATATATAATATACACACATCATCAAAATAAAAGAACCCAATAGAACAAGTATACACGGCCCGCTAGCTCAAAGAGTGCCCAAAATGATGAAACTGGACCTCAATGCTATGACAAGGCCCCAATGGCAGCGGTTTAATAATAAACTATTGACCACATAGTTGTACCATAGATGGCAGCAATTTGAGCTCATTAAATAACATTTCAGGGTTTAATTTTTAAATGTTTGTATGGAAAAGTATTAGCCCCTTAAAGTATGGTTGAATTTATTGAAGGATTGCCATATGTGGGGACACCTTTGGCAAAAAAAAAAAACAATAATAATAAACTTTTTTTCTCTTTCTTCTTTTTAATTATATCCTACGTAAGGTTATATAAACATATATGACAGGTTAGGTCTAGTGCAAGAAGCCTACATTTAATGCACGATAATATTTCAAACAAAATTACTTTCAATTAAAAAGTACTCATAGATTATTTAAAAAAAAAAAAAAACATGCATACACACATGACCCTGCTGGGATCTTTCTTAAGGAAGCGTAGAGCAGTTGATCAGCTTGCACATTTTGCATTATCTCTCAATGTTGGTTTTGTTGAAAGATTTTTCTCTTCTATCTGGGATCAAACCAAACCCACATTTATCAGTTTCACATCCTCAATATCTCTTCCTCCTCTGTCCCTATCTCTCTCTCTCTCACATACGCAGAGAAATGCACTGGAAGAATGAAATAGTCTTGATTGAGTTTTTTTTATGCTCACATAAAATAAACGTGCACATTGCAAAAATTGTATTTAATTATGTTTTTGGGTATTTTTTAAATATATAAATATAAATCTTGAATTCACTAATTCGCAATGTACCTTAAAGCTGTCATGAGTATTAAGTCGGGGAAATTTCAAATAGGGACCAAAAATATAACTTAATTATTAGTGAGTCTTAAAAAATTTTAAAATTTTAATTTAATTTAAGGGGATAAAAGTAAAAATAACTTCAATTATAAAAAAATCAAAATGCCCTTCACTTGTCATACAGAATCACTATTGTTAATTTTTTTGTACTTCACTTGTTAATTTACTAATATTGCTTATAAATTGCATCCGGTTGTCAAACAAGTAGTAACATTAGTTGTTAATTTACTAACTTTACTTGTTAATTTATTAATATCAATTGTAAATTACAAGACTTGTTGGTAATCTACAATTGATTTTATTAAATTATAAAACTTGTCAATAATTTACAACTGATGTTAGTAAATTAATAAATAAATTTAACAATTTAACAACCAATACTTCAATGTATAACTGATGTCAGGTTTTATATAATTATTAACACGTTAACTCATGTAATTTATAACTTATATTAATATATTAGCAAGTGAAATAATAAAATTAACAACTAGTAATTTTGCATAACAAGTGAAAGGTACTTTATTCTTTTTATAGTCGAAATTATTTTCATTTTTATCATCCTAAATTAAACTAAAGTTTTAAAATTTTTTGAGACCCATTAATAATTAAGTCATATCACTTATTCTTATTTAAAATTTTTCCTATTAAGTTGAACACACACGTGTCTTCCAAAAATTGATGTTAAGGGGTTTGGTTCACTGCAACGACTTTACATCCTTGCTTGCATATGTTTTTAAAAGCCTTTTCATGGGTTGTGAATTTGATAGGGTTAAGGAGAGAAGGCGAGACAAGGCATGTGACACTCAGCTTGGCCCTTACAAAGCAAACGAAAGAATATAGTAGGGAAAATATTGTTTTAAATCAGGGTCACAAAGTTTTGAAATTCCAGTAAAAGATTAAAGATTTTTAAATAATTTGACACTGATATTTCAAGATTTGACGATAATATTCCAAAGTTTTATTACTGTCAAATTTTCAAATCTTATCTTATTATTATATTTGAGAGTATTAATGCCAAATTTTGGAGTACCAATATTAAGTTACTTTATGATATTTGGTCCTTTACTGGAAATAGTAGTGTCATATCAAATTTTGAAATATCAGTATCAAATTGTAAAATACCCGTATCCAATCATTTACTAACCATTGGTTCTTGGTTAAAATTTAGAAATTTTTGGTCCCACATTAAAACTAAACTCATTTATAATTAGATGCGATAATTCAAATCAAACCCAAATAAACTCAAAAAATCTTAAGGTAAGTAATTCGGGCTTGAGAGTTTAGGAATTTTTCTTTGCCCTAGGCCACCTGAATAAGTTAGAAAAAATTCAGGTTAGGCCGGAATTCAAATGAGTTTAACCAAATGCCTGAATTCTATTTTATAATTAACAAAATAAGATAAAAGTTGAAATTGGCTAAAAAATAAAATAAAATAAAATTTAATAATTTGGATATTTAGGAAGCTCAAATGAGTTCAAAAGTCTAAAGTTTTAGAGTCGGATTTAGTTATATGAGCTTTTTTATATATTCAGGTATTTTAAAACTTGATTTCAATTAGAGTTGTCACAAGCCGACATTTTTAAGCTCGAAAATATTTAAGGTTGAGTCGCTGATTTAAGGTATAAAATGATAATTCAAACATAAAAGAGCTGGCCATTTTAAACCTGACAATAAAAAGTCGACCCTTTTAAATTCTTTTATATTTTTATATTTTAATATAAAAAATTAAATACTACATCTAGTTAGAGCTACACACATGTAGGCAGGGCAAGGCCCCTACCTAATGCCGAGCGCAAAGGTTTGCAACTTGCTACGGAACTCTACCTACTAAAAGCCCTAACTTTTTGGACTAAGCACCTTCAAGTTACTCTGCCCAAGTGATAGTCCCCTACCCAACATTTGTAAGAAAAACTTCATTAAATCAACCCTAATAGGCATCATTTTAAAAAGAAAATATATTTAATGATTCAATCCAAAATAACATTCATACTTCATGAATCCACATTGTAAAAGATAGAAATCTATTATCAAATAACAAACAATAATAACAAGCTTCAATTGAAAATAGAAGAAGTAACAAGAAGTTAAACAAAACAAGAAACAACTGAGGACTTAGCCATAGCACTTAATATAAACATTTATGAATGAAAAAATTTATAAATGCAACTTAATAATTTAAAAAGTGAATATACACACAGTGGTTAGTTGGAAAATAAATTTGGACGAGATGGAATGCTATTGTTAGGGGTGTGTCAACATCTTATATCTACATAATAAATACACAAATCTCTAACTTAAAATATGAATCAAGAATATATTTTATTGAGAAAAAAATGAAATACGAATTGCATATTTTAAGACTTAAACTAAAAATATAAAGTATATTATATAACATATATAAATCTTGGACAGGGCAACATACCTTATCCTCTGCCTGGCCTAGCCCTACCCAAATCATGCCGGGCTCATTTTTTTAGGTTGGGCAAGGCCAAAATTCACCAAGTTGGGTCAAACATGTCGGGCAACTAGGTATCATGAATAGCCCTACATACAATGATACACTAAAGGTAAACCCTAGTCTCATTCGGTCATTCTCATTCCTTCTACCTCATTCATTGATTGACCAACTAACCAAGTACATAGCTAGCCACCCTCCTTTTCCTCAGTCCCTTATCCATTAAGGCTTAGTTGATAATGCTAACAAAGTCTAATTGTTATCGAGATTAATTTTATAATATTTTTATTTTTCATTAGACTTAAATTTCTTATTGAGTAGATTAACTTAAATTTTTGTTTTTAAACTTGATGTCATGAGTAATATTTTTTAAAAAATTTTAAATGATTTTTTTAAATTTTAAATATGTATTTTTATTTTTAAATTGGAAAGTAAAACCACGATCCTAAGGCCAACCTTTTAATCATGAGGACTAGAGCCAGGCTATATAAAATGTATTTAACATTAAAAAGGACAGTTCATTTAGGTTATGATCTTTTTAAGAATTAACTCCAATTGATAATTTTAATATGAATAAATGTAGTATGAATTGAGTTTGTCTTGTCAGAATAGCAGCCCCACATGTAATGCTCGAGACATTACTACGTTATATATATAAATATGGCTAGGACCACAAGCAAATACATTGGTTGGTATAGGATTGATAGGTAAGTAATAGTCTATCAGACCATTGCCTTCTGGTTTAGGTTCAAAACTGAGGCTTTGATTGTTTGATATTTGGCGCGATGTTTGCGGGTGGTGTTTCACAGTGGGGACCTCAATCACTTCACTTCAAGTCTCCAACCACACAAACACATATCCAACTACGTACTGTTGAATCACCTAAAACCAAACAGCCTCCTAAATTACCAGATACGTTGGCCAACATCTTCAATGGCCCCTTCATCTACTACTGTCAAAATCTCTTGTTTTGATGCACTGTCAAGCAAAGAATCTCTTGCACAGAGAGAAAGACAACTTTGTTAGATGCATTTTAAGCCAAGAATCTCTTGCACAGCAGATACATGCATTAAAATAATAAGATCACGGCTTTGCTTATTCTCTTCAAACCCTTCTTTATTTCCTGCAGCGAGTCAATGCTAACGAGCCCCTTGCCTGTTCTTCCTCTAAATTCTCGAGCAATATATTACCCCTTTGGTCTCAAACTATAAAATACTTTTAGCAGAGACTCAACGTTTTAAAATATAAGACACTTGAATAAAAATAAAGTTTTACTAATGATATTTTTTAATATTATTCTTTTCATATATTCATTTTCTTGAACATTCTTTTATAAATAAAATATTAAATAGAGAAAAGTTTATATTTTTATCTTAAAAAGGTAATATTGTAAAGTTTATTTAATAAATTTTATTGATATATGTGATTTTGTGTGTCTTATAATTTGAAAGATGGAATATTATATAGCATACTGCTATTACGTTTATTTCAAGCATCCTTGATTCTTTCCGCTGTATACATTCTTTAAACTTCACAAATATATTCAGTAAAGAGAAACAAAGACCTAACATGAGGAGTTAACTACAAGAAAAAAGCTTGAGATGGGTAAAACTCAAGCTTTCTGCTCTCCTGAACACTTAATAAACACACCCAGCTTATATCTGCTTGTTTATAATAAACATCTTCAGTGAAACGATATATCAAACACGTGGAAGGTGCCCAGCTTCCCAGGGTACTATATGATGCTTAGCCATCGACACAAACAACAGAAGCCCAGGCAACGGTATGCGTTTGAATTTGTATACACCATTTTCATGATAAAAATCACAGTACTATTGGTTAATTAATTAATTAATTAATTAATGGAATTAATTACCTGCTTATCTTCTTTGTCCCTTTGCTCCTATTGATTAAAACAAATCCTCTTTTGATCTCTCGCCATCATCCTCGGGTCTCCTGTTGCATGAGTTCATTGTTCGCTAACACGGCGTCCCACCACGCAGGCTTGTTGAAGCAGGTATCCTGAATTTTCCATTCCATAATTGTATTTCCCAAATTCAAGTAACATGTACGTTTAACTGTTAATAAATAATAAAGGTTTATAATTATAATTTAAACTTCCAGCAACATGTGGGCAAAACAAATCTAGTTTACGTAGTTTCAGCCCCTCCAAAACACTAAACCAAAACATGAATGTGGCTTGGTATGCTTTGTGCGTTAGTTGCGGCAAAAACAACAAACAGAAAATAAATAAATAAATAAAAGCGGTAAAGTTAAAAAAAAGGAGAAGTCAGAAAGGAAGAAGGAAGTGTATAAATATAGCGAGAATCTGGAAGAAGTTAGGGGAGGTCCTGGCTTTGGCCTTGTCCCAAGAATAACCACCGCTCAAGTATGATCCTATTTTTAAAGCCTTCTCGTTCCTTATCCATTCCGGGTCCTCTCCTCTGACTCTCTCTGTCTGTCTGGCTGTCTCTCTCAGACCATCACCAATTTCAGAGAAGGCATCATTCAATTATCATATTGGTGATCGGTGATCCTTCTTTAAAATTGCAGGTCTGGGCACCACTTCTTTTAAGTTCCCAGGAATTCAGGAAACCACTTATGACTTTTTATGGTTAGTTTTTTTTTTTCCCCCTGCTTCAATCTCCCTACTTTTTTTTCCCTTAATTTTCTGAGTGACTCTGTTTTAGAACCAACAACAAGAATGATTTCAGTTGCTCTGTTTTGTTCATTTAGGTACATTACAGGAATATGCACAATCCATAATGAAATGTCAACATTTTTCATATCTCTCCTACCCCCTGTTTCCCCTCTTTTTGATCTGGAAATTCATCTTACTTCCTCTCATGTTCACTTGTTTATGTAAAATAAAAATGCACAATCCTAAAGTCTGTCATTGGATAGTTCTGAAGAACTAAGTATATGATATTTGTGTGCGTGTGTCCCGTGGCAAAGTTCACAGATTGAACTAAGTATATAAATCCATAGATTTAGATTGGAAATGGTTCTTAGTTTCTGATGGTTTCTCATGTTTGTTCTTTATATATTGTTTTAGATTCCGCAGTGCAAAAGAATTAAAGGAGTCGTTGTGAAAAACAAACCAGAAAATTTCAAATGAAAAGAGAAACATTGCGATAATCTCTTCCTGTTTCCTTCATCGGAGTGGGAAGAGAGTGACTAAGCGACCGAGAGAGAGAGAGAATGGAATCAAGAGGGAAGGCAGGGAGAGGAGAGACATGCGAGGAGGAGGAATCTCCGAGAGGCGTGCTGGAGATAACGGGGGAATCAGATCGGAGCACCGAGAGCATCGGATGTAGCACGTGCTCGGCGGAGAAGACGATGGGGGCGGGGGCGGAAAGGCCGCCGGCGGGAAGGGAGGGGCAATTGCCGCAGTGGAAGGGAGTGATGGACGCGTTGAGGATAAACTCGGTGAAAAGGCTGTCGGCGATACCGTTGTTCGCGTCGACGTATATGATATCTCGGAAGAGCCTGAAAAAATTGGCGCGCATCAGGAGCGCAGAAGACGCCATAGATCTGGTTTCTTTAGCTACCAAATCTTCTTGGAAGAGCTTCCATTACTCCGAGCTTGCTGCTGCAACGGACGATTTCACTCCCGGTATGAACTTCTTGTTTATTCTTGACTGCAATAAATCAGTGTTTCGAATTTTTTATTCATAACAATTCAATCTTTCTAATTTTTCTCAGCGATTAAGTTATTAAAAATTAAATTCCGGAACAAAATGGATAATAAAAAGAAAGTTAAAAACTAAAAGTTATATTTTAAAAAAAAAATTGTTTTTAACTATAACATTTATTATTACTATTATTTTCAATGTTAATATAATGTTACTTTTACTGGAAAAAATATAATGTTATTTTATTTTTACAGGAAAATTGACCAAGAATCAAAATCTAATTTTCTTTTCTTAAAAATAAATTTATTATTTAAAACTTATGAATGAAAAAATTTACAAAAATTAAATTTGAATTGTGAATTTAATTTCCACATTCTATTGGAATAAGCTGCTCGTCAATGAAATTGATGGGCAAAATTAATATTTAATAGTGCCGTGCATGCATGAGGAAAATGGCAACTAAATATAGATCCCACATGGCCAAAAACGAAGTTGGAGATCTCATCAAGTTACATTTTTCATTATTTTTAACATAAAACATGACATTTATTTCTTGTCTATAAAATTATTTTTATTTTATTTCTTATTTACCTTGCTTTTATGTACCACAAAAATCTGTACGATACCACATCCTTCAAAGGATAACGCAAATTAATAAAAAAAAGAACCAAGGTTTTATATATTTAATCAAATATATGCTTCAAAATGAAGCCCCTCATATTTGCGAGCCAGCTCTTCCCCTCCTACTTTAATCTCTGCCGTACGTGAATGGGTTTAACAAGTTCTAGTGCTTTTCAAGGCCGTCATGGAAGTAGGGCTACAATACTTGCTTCATTCATGTGCCAATATATATATATACTTATATATAAGTGATACGATAAATCTCGTGTACGTGATGCATCATGCAAAAGCGTTCTTACAAGATAGTTTGGACAGAGAACTTGATAGGGAAAGGTGGGCATGCGGAAGTGTACAAAGGACGCTTACCCGATGGCCAAATTGTAGCAGTGAAGAAGCTTGTGAATGAGGAAAAGGATGACGGAGATCACACTGGTGATTTCTTGACGGAGCTCGGAATCATCGCCCACATCAACCATCCAAATGCTTGCCAATTGATTGGCTTCGGAATTGACAAGGGCCTCTTCTTCGTCCTTCACTATGCTGCTCATGGCAGCCTATCCTCACTCCTCTTCGGTGCTTCCCTCTTCTCCTACTCATTCTTTACGTACAAAACCCCTCTTTTCACTATACATATATATTCTTGGTTCTCATCGACGTTCGTTTCAGGTTCCAAAAAGCTGGAGTGGAAGTTGAGGTTCCAAGTAGCCATTGGAGTAGCAGAGGGACTGAAATATCTTCATCATGAATGCCCTAGGCGAATTATTCACAGAGACATCAAAGCTTCTAACATATTGCTCAACGAGAACTTCGAACCCGAGGTGCCTCTGCTTTCATATTGTATTATGGATGGGTTAAAGTCCATTTTTTTCATGTACTCTCTTTTGATGAGTACTAGACACCCTATACTATTCAGTAAAGTATTTTTTTTCCTAAATTATTTTTTTAAATAATAAAAAGTTTCCATTTGTTAGTGATTCATTAACAGAAAGGAATTTTTGCTTATTTAAAAAATAGTTAAAAAAAATACCTCACTTATTACTTTAAGGCATCCAACTCTTCTCCAAGGAAATAAATTTCAAAGTGCTTAACACTCTTAAAAAAATAATTTAATAATAAATTAGCACTAAAGAACATGCCATATCAATAAAAAATAATAAAGTTAATAAATTATTAATGGAGGGAAACTTTTGCTCCTCTAGAAAATAATTTAGGAGGAAATACTCTATTTATTAATATGAAATATCCAGCACTCCTCGAAAAGAAAAATATGAGGAAAAAAATGCGCTTTGACTCTATTATAAATTTATAAGTTGTCCACTTCTTTCAAATATTCATTCAACATTGTTACCCGTGTTATGAACTGCAGATTTCAGATTTTGGATTGGCAAAGTGGCTCCCAGAAAAGTGGGACCACCATGTAGTTTTCCCCATAGAAGGCACATTTGGGTTGGTACTATAATTCCAGCTTCCCTTGGCTCTTCTTTTTAACCATGCATGGATTCCTTTTCTAATGCGATGGAAGTAAGTATGCATACAGGTATCTAGCTCCAGAGTATTTTATGCATGGAGTTGTGGATGAGAAGACCGATGTGTTCGCATATGGGGTTTTGTTACTTGAGATCATTACAGGTCGTCAGGCTGTTGATTCTGACAGTAGGCAAAGTCTTGTGATTTGGGTAAGACTCCATCGCTTGAAATTCAAACAAAATTGAGGTAATAAGATTGTATTAAACTTGTGTATCATTGGTCTGTTGAAGGCAAAGGCACTACTGGACGCGAAAAACATGAAGGAATTGGCAGACCCTAGATTGGAGAATGATTATGATCCTACAGAAATGGAGTGTGCCATGGTCACAGCTGCCATGTGTGTACACCACTCAGCTTCCAAGCGTCCCTTCATGAATCGGGTAATTGATACTAAATCTATTGCCTTTAAAGTTTCTGAGGAAATTGTATCTATACAAAAAGCTGACAAGAAGGTTTGGAAAATTATTACAGGTGGTGCAGATGCTGAAGGGGGAGGAAGGACCTGTGGAAGTGAAGCCACAAAAATCCATGGCCCCAAGATCCCTCATGTTGGATGCCTGTGATCTTGAAGATTATACTTGCTCCAATTATTTGAATGATCTCAATCGACACAGGCAACTAATCATGGAGTGAAACGTCCAATGTTTCTTCTTGTGTTTATTATGCTCGTAGTTTCCCCTCGTAAGGGGATCGAAGCTGTACAATTTTTCTTTCTGGTCAATGCAACGTCGCACAGTGTCTTTTTACCAAGAGTGCAAAAATAATTTTGTGAACAACTCTAAGATGCAGTTGCCGAGTCTGGCAAGTTGAATTCAAGCATCTGTTGAGGCGGCAACAAACTGGGGTGACGCTTCAGCTCGAATATATAGCAGTTTTACCACATACCAAGTCTCCAGATTTGGGATGCATCAGCTCTAAAGAACATTGTCCACCGTAGAAAGCAGATGATCGAAGGACATGTCCACCTCTTGTAATACTGTCGTTAATTTGTTTAATGTACTAGGCTCAGGCCTCTCCCAGGTAACCCAAAAAGAAGCAGGCAGCAGTATATTTAGTTTACTGCATTGAGGCCTCTCGGGCCGAAACGCAATGCGTAAATCGCGTGCATTTAACAAGCATTTCTTTCTCTCGTTCTTCGCTTGTTTTATTTGTTTAACCGAGGAGCGCAACTTCAAACAAGCTCTTGCTATCTCTTTAACCGAACCTAAAAATACTGCACTATGAAAATGAATCATGAACTGCTGGGCACAAGGAAAGCAGATAAGGAACAATAACAGGCCAAGGCTCAGTCCAGTAACATCTCAACGATAGTGTTTGATATTTGGGTCATGCTTAAGCTTAATCCACCCCAAACCGAATATCTAGGCATAGATGATATTTCATCCGGAGATAAATAAAGACTGCAATTGCTATATTAATATATAAAAATATTATAGGAATTGGGAATAACGGAAAGTTCATATTCATACTACAGCACCAGCAAGTTAAGCATTCAGAAGTACCTGTGCAACACTACACGACTAAATTTTCCGTCTTGGCGAAGTTACTTTACAATACATAATCCAGCTTCCGACAGTAACTAAGACTCTAGCCTTCCAAGGGGAAACACAAAAACCTCCTAAACTTCCTTTCTTCCCAGTAAAAAGATGAATTAAATGGTGTCAGAGAGCTCAGAGGCGGGTCAGCTGAATTGTGCCAGAGACTTGCTATAGCTTTTGCTTTTGTCAACAGAAAGCATAGATAACCCCCCCTCCATCACAAGTCAATATGACTGATGAGGAGGCCATATGAAGAACTCAGAAGGTGCAGGCATGGCAGGAAATGGAGTTGCAGAAGGATTAGATACAGCAGATTCTGCGGCGCCGGCATTGGAAGGACGAAAATGGTTCAAGAGGTTGTGATGATAGTACGCAGCAGCAGGATCAAATGGAATTCCACAAGGGACGGAGGGGACAGCCTGAATTGGTGAGAAGTTGATGCTGTTACTTTGGATTTGCTGGCTATTATTGTTCAGAGTTGCTTTCTGCTCGGATTCAAGCGAAAGCTTCAAGCGTTTCGCTGCCCCACCAATTGGAAGAGAACTGTTCATGATGGCTTCAACGTCATACCTACTCATCTCAAAGTTGGTCACAGCGTTCGCACCCCTGAACTTAATGGCCGCGATATCATACGCCTCAGCTGCTTCTTCTTCAGTGGCTGTCATCAACAAGCACGAGATGACTCAGAATACAATATTTACTCTAGACATCATAGAAAATCTTAAACCGAGCATAGATCAGTGCTTCAACATCATTTGTTCATCTCCTGTCTAAGCGTAAGATTAGGAATAATAATTTCAAACTAGAGACTTACTCAAGATCCAATCAACCATCACAATGTTATTTTGTTACTATAAAGCGCAGGAAGAAGTTGATAGCTGAAAATTTACCGAATGTTCCAAGGTACAGATCCTTGTTCCCTGCCACACGGCCAATTCTTGCTTGCCATCTACCTTGTTGGTGATGCCTACAGGATCAAAAAGTACAGATATGATTTAATCATTTGCCACACCTTAGCTGCAAAGGGAATGAAAAACTCTAAAGAAAAAACTAGGAAAAAAAAAATTATCATCATACTGTTCCAAATGTAAATTCCAAACCTTGTTACGCCCCTATATATAGAAGCTCCCCGGGAAAATCCGCTACTTTTCCTGCACGAATGCGAACCGGCAAATTTAACTTTCTGCATTACAGAACATAGTACAAACAATTTAATGGGCTAACTCAGGTAAACCTTCGCAGCGACGCGATAAATTCCTGCTTTGTTACATGCTTCATCTCCTCCATTTCCTTTGCATAATTGGAAGCCTAGAAATATAGAGATAAATTTGCTAAGCAATAGAAACTTCAATGTCTCATCGCAGTCCATGCAAAATATCAACTCTTATTCCATAGATGAAAAACCAACACCGTGACGCGCTAAAATGAACATCGTCATGCATATAGTTATCTCCAGATCAAGTAATGTATATATGGATCTCAACTTTTTCGTGGAGCCTACTATTGCAAAGCTACGTAATTTTATGCACTTGGATAGCTATCAAAAACCAAGATAGATTATTGGAAGATTCATACAGGGAAGTTGGTGGTGGCAGTGGGGCCCCAGTACTTTAGAGCTGCCAAATCATAAGCTCTTGCGGCCTTGTCTTCTTTGTCGTAACCACCTGAAACGCCATAAATAAATAAATAAATAAAATTCAAAAACTGAAATAGATTTAAAAGTAACCAGGAATGAAAATGACTGCAAACATTTCTTACCCAAATAGACTGTAGAAAGAGTCAAAAAGACGAGTGACAGCCAGAAATGCACCCAGCCACGTTACATGTAAAGGAAAAGCCAAAGAAGAATATAGATATGAGATCAAGGAATGGTCAAAATTTTCTGCCAAAAATTTACTTTAGAAATCTAAAAACAACAAATGGATAAAAAAGAAAAGTGAGATGCATGCAAACGCTAATGGTGCATGCGCACAAGTAACTTTCTTTACCCTTCGCTTTTTTTCGTTCTCAATTTTCCACCTTTTTCAGCTACAGGAAGCGTATACCACTGTACAACCGCAACATCCGTGTACTCCACGCTCTTTTATTCGCGCAGAACACTAATTAACTCTTGGAATTTGGAGGCGAGGCTTGATGACTTATTAAGTGATTAAAGTAACAATTAATATAATCCTACTCCTACACGATCATAGTCAAAGACATGTCACATCCGCATAAAATCGGCGGAAAAAAGAAGCGCCGAATTGCCGATAGTCCAATACATAACGCTTTTCTCACTGGTTAATTTATTGATTTATTTATTTCTTAATATTAAAAAAATAAAGTGATTTGCAATACTTTTGTATGTTTCGTTAGCCAGTGGCATACAAGGTCTAAGAAATCCCGTGAGCATGTTGCAGAAACAGAGGGAGAGGACAGAGGCACTACTGTCAACAAGTTTTCACGCAACAGTGAACACACCATCCTTGTAAGTACACTATTCAATGTTGGGTGGTGTGGTCAAACCCAGCCTTTGCTGGCCGATGAACGAGAAAGCAAAGCAAAGGCAAAAGTTAAAGGCCCAACTCTGAAGAGATATCTATCACCCCCAAACAGTGTTTTACCTCTAAAGTGTCTGTGCATCTGATGTGAGCGAGATGAGTTGAACAGAAAACAGAGAGGTAGCCTAAAAGACAAAGAAAGCCAACCCGCATATAGGCAAAATGGCGGCACATCCGATCAAATCAATCACTTGAATGAAATTGCAGGACAATGAATAAGTACCACCATCAATATAGTACATGTATATACCATCAGTGTCAATCATAAAAGACTGATGGAGAAAGAAAACCCAGGTGTCCTGCTATTACAATCGCCGACCCATTTTAATTTAATATACCCTTTCATTTCAATTCAATGCATGCAAGCCTCTTTTCAGTGTCTCAGACTCTGAGAGTCCCTCATTCTAATTTCTTTTCCCTGTTAATTTATTATTATTAGCAAGGGGGAAGGGGGGGGGGGAGAGAGAGTCCAGAAAGTATTGCACCTTGACGCCCTTTTCTCGCCTGACCTTCTCTCCTACAGCTGTTATCCCATAGATGCGCTTCATATCTACCAGTCCATCGGTGTCTGAATCACAGAGAAAGAAATTAAATTTTCTAAAATGCAGTCTCCATTTATGACTTTTGCCCGCTTTAAAGTGTTACCGTAGTCTAAGTATTGAGATACAAAGGAGAGAAATCAGAAAAACCAACTTGCGAGAACCAGTTATTCCCCAACACGCCAAAAGGGCTTTTGTGGGAAAAGAAAAAGGTCTCCCAAGCGAGAAAAATAACCGGTACTAAAAAAAGAACAGAAATTTACCAGAAAAACACAGCACTCTTGAAATGGAATAGTACTATACCTGGTGACACCTCTGTAAATCGAAGTTCTTTGGCCAAAAGTATCGGCTATCTTCTTGGAGCTATCGGAATCCACAGGAACAATGGTTTTCTGATCGGCACATCGTGGGGTGGTGACGCCGAGGGACAAGGTGCCAGTGGTGGTGCCGCTTGAGAAAGCCAGCTCGTGCCTGGATGACTCTAACGAGTGAGCCGCAAACTCGCCGGAGGCGGCCTGAGTTTTGCCGATGGATGCCGAGTCATCCACTTCGGAGCCCGAGTTGGTGGAGAAAGCTTGGAACCCGGCGATCGCCTTCAGATCTTGCTGGTCACTGAAGTAGGTCGAGCCCTGGTCGTAAATATGGGTAAGGGTCGACGAATCTTGAGTATCCGTTTGGCTATCAGAGTAACGCATGATAGACGAGGAAGAATCGCCCAGAAAATCCTCGAGTTTCGGCACTGGCTGGTCATGATTCTGGGGTTCCATGAAACCTGGGTGAAATGATGATTCAACCATGTTCTGTGCAGCTTGACTTTCTTTGCCTTCGTCTAGCTCTACTTGGCTGTACAGCACCTGGGGCTTGGGGTTCGACCACCCTGCCCAACATCGAAAACACAACCTGTTAAAACAAGTTTCTGAAGAACCATGATAACATACTTTGAACTCAGCTCATTAACGTTTGATTTACAAGAAAATGGAGCAGCGATTAGTTAGTTTAGTCCCGTTCGGTAACTGGATTTATCCATCCCTATTCGGGACCAGAAATGAAGCATCATTCCATCACCGAACTGCACCCACTGCGACCTCTGGTTCAGAGTAGTCAGCCACGATTGAGGTCATCATTAGAACTTTGGAAACCGGGACAAACAAATACAAGGAATGAAATGTCCTATTACCGAGTAGAAATCACAGTTCTCTAATCAAAACAAACAGAAGAATAGAAACCAGAAAGTTTCAGAGATTTCTCTCACGTGAGGTGAAGAGATTTTGTTGTTCATTACTCTCGGCGAGAGAAATATACTGACCCCAACAAAACCAAGACCATATCGTACTCATAGTCACAGAAAAGCGCGCTACACCAGAGAAACCAATAATCGACGAAGATAGAACTGAATGCCAGTAACATATCAGAGTCGTTCACAGATGGCGTTACCATTGGCATAGAAGTTATCGATGAAGTAGTGAGGAGCAGCAGAAGCGCCGTCATATTGAAGGTACTGCGAGTTGGTAGACCTCAGCATTTCCATCGGCGACAACGAAAACGATAGCCAGTTAGTAGCCCGAGCCATTGTTTGCTTTGAACTTTCACTGGAGCCTTCAGCGACCTCGCAGTTCTCAATCTGAGCAGCACACACAGATCGCCCCGTTTTAAAAACAGATAATCTCGAGAAACAAACAAAATAAGCAAGACAGATAAGCCGTATTCTGTACATGTACACAATAAAAGCTCGAAACTGAAATCACCAGCGGACTTGAGCGTTACCAAGAGCCAGTGATCCAGTCCACTGTTTGGGTGTATCTCAAGGAAAGAAAATAAACAGAACAGTATTTTCAAAGGAAGAGATACGAGAATGGCGAAGCTGGCTGACTGACTGGGTCGCTGGCTAGCTAGGACACAGGACAGTTTCTTATGTCTTGGGGATTAAAGGAGCGGGACGAGTACACATTTAGCGGGAAGAGTAAATTTATATGGAAGATAAGTTTCCAGAAGCAAGATGCATGCAGGCTGAGTTGAGAGCTATTAATGTACTATGAATATGATCGTTGAAAGTCATGGAGAGAGAATCTAGGGGAAGAGAAGACGAAAGAGGAAACTTAGAGGGAGAGAGAGAGAGAGACAGACAGAGAGAGCAGGTGTTGGGTTATAATGGGAGAGAAGAGCGGTTTCAGGTGCCAACCGGCGTAAAACCAGAGCGATGAGTTTTGGTCAAGAAAGAGGGACATTGAGAGGCCAATATGGCAAAATAAAATTAATTTAGAAAATTAATAATAAAAAAATGTTCCTGTTTGGAGAGGAAAAAATGGATAGAAGCGACTTTTGGGTCTGGGGGAAGAAAAATTGTCTGAAACAGGGTCACGAAAGATCCGGGATGGCGGAGAATTGAATTTGTTAGGGTTCGTTTTTGTTGTACCCAAATTTACCGAATTGCCCTCAGTGCTTTGGTATTTTAAATAAAGTGTTATATGATATAATAATATACTCCCTTCAATTTTATTTATAAATTATTTTTAATAACATCATCAATATTAATTAATATAATAAAAGTATAAAAAATAAATTCTTTAAAAAAATAAAAAATAAAAAAAAATTATATGAGGTTATTTTCTCTCACTCTCACTTATTTTTTTTAAGAATAGTTTATAAATTTTAATGTAAAATAAAACTATTCCATTAGCTTTTAATTTATAAAGCGGACTAAACTGTGCGTTTAAAAGGTGCCCAATGTAACGACTGGAAGGATTATTATTATTATTTTGCATTTTTGGTGGGGAGGGAAGGGAGGGGGGAAAAACAGGAGTTTCAGGTTTTCACACACCTGTCTTGCATGCACATTTCTTTCGTTACGGTCTGTTTCAGTGGGGTCCGGGTTGATGGGATCCGCCGGTCCAATTTGTCCCACAATGAACACCACTTCAAATTCAAACTAGTCAAGTTTGATTTTTTTTTTTTTATATTTCAAAAAATTTAGTGAATTGAGTTTTACAACGTATTAAAATCAAAATATGTCTTTAAACTCAAATAATACTTACAAAAATATATATGGATAAAGTTCTTACATCAACAGAAAAAATTAAATTTTTTATAGTTATAAAATCATAAATTAAAACTTATAATGTATTGTTAATTGAAATTCTAAGTCAATGTATTTCTCTATTTATTCATTGTTTTAGAGAGAATATCAATGAAGAATTTGTAAAAAATTTAATATCTGACAATGATTTTTATTTTTATTTTTTGGCCGAAGACAATTATCTTTAATAATCAAAAGTATTGTTTTAACAAGTATTATTCGTTTAGGGTTCTTAATAAATATTAATTTCTTATAGAAGTCTTTTAGTGATTTTCTCCCTTGTTTTTAACGTGAATAATGGACACAAGGTTTTAAATGGAACGTAATAAAAAGCCAAAATTAATTATCCAGTAGTGCTCCTATTGAATGTCAGTATTAGTCAAAAATTCCAAGTGAAAACACTTCTTTCATGCAAAGTATGGTACTTAGCTAAATAAAACAATGTGGATAATAATTTAAAAAACTCACGAGAAAAGCCAGAATAGGCAAGCAATAACATCAACTAGTTTAGTAAATAATTTTTTTAATATAAAAAATATTTTTTGTTTTTTTTTAAGTTCATGACTTTATTTGTGATGGTGGGTTTATGCTGGCCAATGATTAAAAAACAATACCAAATCAGACAACCAGATAGTCACTAGTCAGGATGATAGCTCGATCAAGTCAAAAAAATTATTTAGAAAGTTGGGCACATGAGGCCACTTTGGATTGGCAATCAAATCGGCATCAAACTAGAAATTGAATCTGGTTTTTAAAAGCTGGATTGCTAAGAAAATACGCTTTTATTTTTTATCAATTTTTTTAAAAAACGATCAAATTTTTTAATCATTTAATATTATGTTGCATTATATGATTTGTTAAATCATAATAAATTTAAAAAATATTTAACTTTATTTTTAAGTCAGGTAATAATTTTATATTTATTTTTTATATTTAAATTATTATATATATTATTATATTTATAATTCAATTATTAATCTAACTTGATTGAATTATATAAATTGTAAGCTACTGAGCTCTCAATTTAATATTCAATTTAATTTTAAAAACATTGGTTGGTTCTGACGTTTTTGTATGTAATAAGTTTGACTTTTTTACCCAGAAACTAAGGGGAGTACTCTTTGGGAGTAACTAATCAATTTAATCCACGAATCAGTGAATAAGTGAGTACAATTTTATGAGCGAACAGTTAAATCTAATACGATGAATCCCCCCCCCCACACACACACACACAAAGAAAGAATCCAAGTAAGCACTAGATCAATCCAGTGTTCGTCAACCGAAAAAATTATTTATCAATGTAATATAATTATAAATATTTAGAGGCAATTTGAATCTATTTCAGTTTGTCAATGAACAACTTTTTTAAGAGGTTAATATTATATAATAAAGGCATATACTACACTGTCTTAATTAATATAGAGGAGAGTATTTACGTCTAGTTGGTCAAAAATATACGACGACAAATATGTGATGCATTTAATGGTTCTTATTATTATTTTTTAATATTCACACTCAATTGGACACTTTATTGTCGCGCACCGTATCATAATATATGACATTTTTTAAAAATATTGTTTAATCTAAAATATGAAGTATTTAACAACTTTTATAATTATTTTTTAAGGTAATATATAATTTAGACCTTCAACTATAGGTTTAGGGACAACTTAAATCCTAAACTTTAAAAAAGTGTATTTTAAACCCTAAATGATTAAAATTTGAACAATTTTGCCCCTGTCATTAATTTTCAACAAACTTTCGTGAAACTCATTTTTTGAATTAATATGCAATTCAGACTCTAAACAATAGGTCTAAGGATGATTTAAACCTATAGGTCTAAGAGTGATTTGAATTCTAAACTTTTAAAAGGTACATTATAAACCCTAAATAATTAAAATTGAGGCAAATTTGCTTCTACCATTAACTTTCAACAAACTTTTATAAGGGTGAAATTAATTTAAAAATTAACGATGTGGGCAAAATTGTCTCAACTTTAATTGTTTAAGATTTATAATATACCTTTTAAAAGTTTAGAATTCAAATTACCTCTGGACCTATAGTTCAGGATTCAAATTGCATATTGATCTTTTTATATTTTGAAAAATGCACTTTGACTAATAATAATTCAACAATAACATAAAAAGGTGTATTGTACATATTATATCAATTTTTAAAAAGAATTTGAAGGAGTGTGTAAGTTTTTTGATTTAAATTGATCAATGAAAGCGAAAATTTATAAAATAGGTCTAAATACTTTTATGATAAATAAAGAAATGGAAAAAAAAGTGTATGAAGAGAAATATATTTTTTCCCTAACAAAAAATGATAATGTTTTTTTCACCGATATTGTCATGAAGTTCAATCACACTGAGGAACAAATGCGTAAAAATATGAAAGTGCGTTTATAGCGAAAGATTATGTTATGCTCCTATTGCTACCACTGATAGCCTATCAAAAATTCAAAACCCCACCTAGCAAGAACAAAAATAGTCAATTCGACATTGCCTCATTTATAACCATCATAATCTCCACAAAAGATTACTTTACTCATTATTACAATTTATAGCTTTCTTTTATGTAGTTTCATCATCATTATTTACCTTTTTTATTCCTTCTTCTCATGTCCTAAGAAATTTGTAATATTATTATGAGTTAATATACAATTTAAACTCTAAACTATAGCTTTGAGGGTCAAATCCTAAACTTTTATAAAAGTACATTCTAAACCCTGAATAATTAAATTTGGGATAATTTTCTTCCTATCGTTAACTTTCAACAAACGTCCATTAAATTAAGGTTTAAAGTACAATTTTCTTTAAATGATTTTGATGAATATTTGTCAAAAGTTAACGGTAGAGATGAAATTATCCCGACTTTAATTGTTTAGAGTTCAAATTGCCCCTGGACCTATATTTCAGGGTCTAAATTGCATATTAACCCTTATTTTTTCAACTATACTCTTACTTCATTTGTAACTTTTTAAAAAATGATGCACTAAAATTTTAATTTTCATTATCCAAGTACTTATACAAGACATTTAATTAGGGTAAAATTAAAAATATATAAATTTTTTTGAGTAATTAAAGTTTCAAGTGACTTTTTTTAAAAGTCATAAATTGATTACCAATGCCCTGTATTTTAATCTGGATGAGTATTAATTTCATTGAAGGGTAAAGTTGAAGACCACACATTTATTTACAGTTTAAGAATACAGTCTCTCACTCCTTAACAATCATAAAGTACATAATATTTTTTATGAATATTAGAATATTATGTGAATGTACATTATTTTAAATTTTTTAATATCTTTTGGTTATTATAACATTTTTCAATTACTACTATCTTGTCTATTTTATTTACTTTAATTAATATATTTGGGCCTGTAGAAGGCATCTCAGTTGTATTCTATATACTAAAATAAGAAATTTTTCTATTCTCTTATTCTTTCAGTATAGTTTTTTTCCTTCTCTCCTCCTTTCAATCTCTATGGTTATAACACGTTATTAGTACAATGGCTTTATTCTTGGCATAATCAGGTGAGTGTCCTTGTAATTATTGGATTAGAGATTAATGCTCATATCAATGAACATCTGTAATAGAGATGAAGGCACGATCTATTGAATATTGAGCAAATCTCTACCATCCATGCACTTTTGTTATTTATATTATTTATTGAATTTATTTTTTATTTAATTATTTTCTTCCTTCCTCAATTAATCAAATAATTACATATTGTGCATCACATCCAGAAGTATGAGGTACAAATTAATTTTGAAATAGTGGATCGAAAAGTTATTCATATATGATAGAAAGTGAATCTTAAAGTTATTCACATAGAAAATACTAGGTGGATTTCGAAGATATCCACATACAATATAAAGTATATGCGAAAGATTACTATATAGAATATAAAGTAAATCCTAAAATTATTTACTTATTATTTACTAATTTTATTCAAATAAAATATAAAGTAGATCCTGAAGATATCTATAGAACTTAAAAGTGAATTTTGAAGTTATATACCCACGTGATATAATGTAGATCCTGAAGATATCTATATTCAATTATGCATTTATCTTATATGCATTCAATTTCTTATTTTAATTTATTGTTTATATA